TTACTGAATTTCACATCCTTTCACAGAAGCTGTGCAGCTCTTTAAGGGCTTTTGGTGTCTTCGGGTAAGTGATGCTTTTTGCCCTTCTTATCCTCCTTAGCAGAATCCTGGAAGACTGTCAATGCTTTAGAGGTCCTTCAGATAACTTCATTTCAGACAAATAATAATTCATGAGCTTGACCTCTGTGTGCAGGGTTGCTATACAGCTCTTACTACTGCCCTGTTTCTTAACTTCAGATCAACAATTTATGTCCTATAGTTTTGACAAAGGGGGTGGGATGAGGTAGAGAGCATGTTTATTCATATTTTTTTAATCCCACATATTTATTTCTGTTAGCTCTTTGATTTAAACAGCAGAATATTGAGTGGTCAAAGGTCAGGGTGGATGGGGTGGAGTTTTCCCACAACTGCTGATGGCTTACTGATCCCACTGTTTACACATCCAGTCCCTCTGACGACGATAATGTGTTCAACAGGAGAGCTTCTCCTATTTTGGGAGCACGCTTAGATTGGAGCTCTGAATCCCTGCTTTAGAAAACGTTAAGATGCATTCAGGCCAGCACTCAGAATCTGTCTCCTTGGTGTTGACTGATTTCAGAGCAGCTGTGTGTACTCTGAAAGCTAAGCATATGTTGAAGTGGTCTTGTGGTTGAGGTCTTGAGGTATTTTTTGCATAATGGATATTATGCAGGCTCAGGAGCAGGAGATGGAGGCAGCCAGTTAGGTCACCTTATAGAGGGTGTCCAAAGAACTGAAGGAAACCATAGTTTGAGTCAATTTGAAAGAAGGGTCTTGCCTTGGAAAGCACGAGGTTTCCCATATAAGTAGGGATTTTCTTTTTGTGCGTGTACATTGCATGCAAACTGGTTCTGTTTCCAGTAAGTGTTTTGTATAGAGCTAGGTTATCTCTGGTAGAGAAGTCTTAGGGTGGAAAATCTTCAAGTGAGTTGCTTGTTTTCACACTGATGTAAATTTCTTTTTTTGGCAAACATCATCCTTCCCTGTCCCTTCCCTTTCCCTCTTCCATTGCCACAATAAATTCAGTGTCATCAGTACAAGTGACTGAGGATAAAGGGCAGTCCTAGGCCAGTTACTGTGTGGTAAGATCAATTTTGATGGACTTATCATCTTGGGGAAGGATAGATGTTTCACCTCCAAGATTCAGGGGTACATCTCATTGTGCTTTCTGATTGCTTTGGTTAATGAAGGGGAACAAGTACTCTTGTGTGGGTAAATACTGTAGAGAGTTTTTCTGATAATTTGCAGTGTGAATGTTTTTGGCAGGTAACGCAAGATAGCAGGTTTGCTATTTATTCACATAAGATGTTGGCAGCTTTTAGTTTGCCAGGTGACTGTACTTGTTCCTGTTCTTAGTCTCCAGTGAAAGGTAAAACGGAGCAGGAACTTAGCCACTGGAGACACTGCAGCACAGACGTATTCTTAGCTGGATGTCTTGTCTTAGAAGAGCAATGTGTCAAAATTGGATTAAGGCAGAGACTTAAAGAAAAACAATAGCTAAACTAAAATTAGCAACCTAAGTCTGTAGGCTCAGTTGAACTAAGCTCAGCATAAGATCAGTGGGGAGGCAAACTGTATTTAAATCATCTTCTCCAGGCTCTGATGTGAGTGGAGCCCAGTGGAGGGAGAACACTTCTTGAAGAAAACACTCCCCTGCTCCCCAGGGTGATCCCTTGGACCTGAATGTGTGTGGCCTGGCTGAACTGGGGTGTCAGGATCTGGAGATGGTTGTTCAAGCAATGTGAATGTGGTAGAACAAAGGCGAGTGCCTAGCTTGCCAGGCTGAGCTCACAGAAATACATTTCGAGTTTTTGCAATACTAAAATAAATAACTTCTTGATAATCTAAATGAGCAGCTCTCACTTCGAAAGACTGAGTATGTTCCTATTCTGTAGAGACCAAGAGGGGATAGCAGATGCAGTAATAAGCTCAGTTAGCAATTGCAATTTTGCAGGGTTTGTGTGTATTGTACAGTAGATTGGGGAGATTGTTAGTATCAGTTAAAATAATCCTATCAATGTCAGTAATACTGAAATCTTGTTAATTTTAGGCAATTAGTCCATGGATTAGACTTAAATTCTGTTCAATTGATTAAAAGATATGGGGGAAGTCCTACTCGGAGATGAAGAACTGCTGTTGTACAATTCTGATGTTTCTTGCATACCACCAAGTACGAAACCAGAAGTATCCATCAAAAATAAAAGCAGGGAAAGAGGATACAGAGGATAATCTAATTCCTTCTGAAATCCCTGAGGGGTTAAGACTGAATGTTAAAAGGCAATATTTGTTGATTCTGCATGAGGCCAATTAGTTGTTTTCCCACCTTAATACCCAAAAAATAGCTGATTAATTCTGTGGCTTATTTTCATCAAAAAGCACAGGTATCTTGGAACTAAAAATAAATGGCTTTTATTTTTCAGCAGAAAAAAATGAGTAACATAACAACTCCTGCCTCTCTAGCAAAGACAAAATGGCAGACCTGTGGCTAAATCAGTTATGCTGCTCTGATGAGTTTTCCAGTCTGGCCCTGAGGAACCACTCTGCATCAAGGAATGAATCACTGCAGATTCAAAGGCCATTAATACATCTTCCTATATGAGAAAAATAATCTTAATTAATAATCAATCTTAAATCTAAATATTGCTCTTGTAAACCTAAAGAAATAAGAACGAAAAGGCTCTTCTAGAACCCGGGGGTAGTCGGCTCCATTCGTTTGTATTCATTAGCATCTATTGCTTGAAGATTTTCATGGCCATAGATGTGTATTAAAATGCAGTATCTTAATGCAAGAACAGAATATTTTAGCAGAAAACTGTAATTACAAAAGTAGCTGACCTGAGGCACTTGCTTCATTGACTTTCCTCCTATTTTTTTAAGACCAATTCTCATAATAAGTTCTACAATAAATGGTTAGAGTAATTAATCTTGTCAGTAGAAGTCACTGTATCAGTTCAATGAGAAATCTTTAGCATAAGAAGTTTAGAGGTTTTGGGTTTGTTCCCAGCAGATCCCGTGCCTTTAAATCCAGTTGTTGGGGACTGGGGTTTTGGAAATATTTCGGATGTTACTGAATGAAGTGAGCGAATGACAATAGCAATTTTGTAGAAACATCTATACTGACTAATTTGCTGAAAGTATCCTTACAACCTTGCAAACAATGAGTGGAGATGTTCTTGCAAGCACCAAGACAGATGCTCTGTGGCTAGGAGAGCTACAGAGGGTCCTGCTCAGGCACAGACAGCGCAGCGCAGAGGAAGGACAGAGATGGTTGGATGGAGGGCACCGCTCGAGCAGGGATTGCATTTAGGATTTGCAGGGGAGTATGACTTGAGGAAGGGTGAATGACACAGCAGATAAATGGGAACTGCAGGGAACCAGCTCCTGGGGTAGGGGAGGGTAGTCCAGGCTGCAAAGGGTTTGGAAGTCAGGGGTTTTGGTGTCTCAAAGCAGGTCCCCAGGGGCTGTCAGGAAGCTGGTCCCTGGTGCATATCTCATGGCTGGGCCCTAGGGCAGCGTGGTTGGAGGGCTGTGTGCCCATACCCAGCATCAACATTTCCTCGCCTTGGGACTCCTCATGTAGTCAGAATTCAGCCAGCAAAAAGTCCCTTCAACAGCAGAAAGCAGAGAACTGGGAACGTATTGCTGGTGGCTAGGGAAATAGGAAGGAAAGCAGTTTTAACAAGTGTTTCACTATTAATTACAGCCTTGAATGATATTTTTAAAATATTTTTGGTAGCTGTTGGATAGTTTATATACTAATGGAGTAGATAGAAATCATGCAGAGAAAATGAATGATTTGCAATTTATAATTATTGTGAAATGTTTTGAATTGATAATATGTGGGAAAAGATTTAAATTTAGTTGCTGCACTAAAATTACAGAAAGCTTTGCAGGCAGCTGGGTTTACATCCAGCAGTGAGTAGGTAGTTGATACTGAAAAGACAGTCACACGTGTCTGGCTAAGTATTCTCTCAAGAGCAGTGAGAATACATTCCCTAAAAAAAAGCTTTGGGTTTCTTGCCTGGTTGTCCATTTTCCCACAGTGTTTTGTGGTCCTGGTACACAGAAGTGACTAACATAGCTACTTTTCAAAGCAAATGGGGAGATGAGAGTGTGAAGTAGGTTAGGGCTGAGCACAGGGGTACGTGGGGCTCCCACGAGAGCAGTGATGAGAGCTATGCGGTTGTGCATGCAGCAGAGATGGGCTTCTCAGCTTAGTGAGAACGTCCTTTGCCAAAGGACACTGAAACATAGAAATAAGAAAGCCCAGACTCTCCTGGGTGTGTATCTCGGGGGTCTGACTCATGACTGTTGTTTGGTTTTGTTTTAGTTTTGCTTGAGGTGTCCAAGGTTGCAGAAAAGAGGCAGAATTGAGACAGGATGCTAATCTGCTGAGCATCAAGCTGTCACGTGTGCCCCGCAGCACGCTGACCCGTCCCAGGCCCTCCTCCCAGCACTGCTTAGGAGAATTCTTTCTTCCCCTTCTCCTCCCACATAGGCTGAGACTCTTTTCTCATGCCTTTTTATGCCAAAGTTCCTCCTTTATTCATGATATCTCTTAAATTCTGGTGAGATCCACCCCACTTCTGGTTACACAGACCTTAACCAGGTGCTGGAGCTTCCCATGAAACCCCTCTTCCCATATGTATCTGTTTTGAAAATGTATGTGACACAACCGGATGCCACCCCCTCACAGCTGTAGTGAGTTGCTGAGATCTGGAAGGCAGTTTAACAGCTGCAAATGTCACTCATGAAAACTTGGTATCTCTAATGCTGCAATCAGTCAAGTCACTGTATAGCTCCGTATATTTTATAGCTCAGTAGGGAACTAAATTGTGGGAAGGGATAATATGTTGTGTTTTGAGGTTCATAAGAACATGAATTATCTTGACATAAACATATCTTCTCTATTATTTATGTACTTGTGGAACGGCCAAAGAAAACTTACTCAATCTTTTTTTAATGTAATTATTCCACAGGATCCTTCAAACCAAAAATGCGGAAGAAAGAAAACAGTGTCCTTCAGCAGCATGCCATCAGAGAAGAAAATAAGCAGCGCCAGCGACTGTATCAGCTTTATGCAGGCTGGGTGTGAATTGAAGAAAGTTCGTCCAAATTCCCGGATTTATAACCGTTTTTTTACTCTGGATCCTGACCTGCAGGCTCTTCGTTGGGAGCCTTCCAAGAAGGACCTTGAGAAAGCCAAGCTTGATATTTCTGCTATAAAAGAAATCAGACTAGGGAAGAACACAGAAACATTCAGGAATAATGGACTCGCAGACCAGATTTCTGAGGACTGTGCGCTGTCGGTAATTCATGGTGAGAACTACGAGTCCCTTGATTTGGTTGCCAATTCAGCTGATGTGGCCAATATTTGGGTATCAGGATTAAGGTACTTGGTTTCTCGTAGCAAACAACCCCTGGATTTGATGGAAAGCAGCCATAATACCCCACGATTTGCCTGGCTAAAAGCTGTATTCGAAGCAGCAGATGTTGATGGTAATGGCATAATGTTAGAAGATACATCTGTGGAGCTAATAAAGAAGCTTAACCCCACCTTGAAGGAATCAAAGATTAGATTAAAATTTAAGGAAATCCAGAAGAGCAAAGAGAAACTGACAACACGAGTAACGAAAGAGGAATTTTGTGAAGCATTCAGTGAACTCTGCACAAGACCTGAAGTTTATTTCTTACTCGTGCAGATATCTAAAAACAAAGAGTATTTAGATGCCAATGACCTCATGCTGTTTTTGGAGGCTGAGCAAGGAGTGACCCACATAACAGAAGAAATGTGTCTAGATATTATACGCAGGTATGAGCTTTCTCAAGAAGGGCGATTGAAAGGTTTTCTTGCGATTGATGGATTTACTCAATACTTATTGTCCCCAGAATGTGATATTTTTGACCCAGAGCACAAAAAAATTGTCCAAGACATGACGCAGCCTTTGTCACATTACTACATCAATGCATCCCACAATACATATCTAATAGAAGACCAGCTCAGAGGGCCAGCTGATATCAACGGTTATGTCAGAGCTTTAAAGATGAGTTGTCGGAGTATTGAACTAGACGTCTGTGACGGCCCAGATAATGAACCCATTATTTGTAACCGTAACAACATGACATCGCCACTTGCCTTTCGAAATGTTATTGAGGTAATAAACAAATTGGCCTTCTTTGCTTCAGAATACCCCCTTATTCTCTGCTTGGGAAACCACTGCTCAGTACCACAGCAGAAGGTAATGGTACAACACATGAAAAGGATCTTTGGAAACAAACTATACACAGAGGCACCTTTATCCTCAGAAGTCTACCTCCCATCACCCGAGAAACTGAAAATGAAGATCATTGTGAAGGGGAAGAAGTTGCCCTGTGACCAGGACATATTAGAAGGAGAAGTCACGGATGAAGATGAAGAGGCTGAAATATCCCGGAGACTGTCAGAGGACTTCTCAAAGGAACCGAAGCTGATCTGGCTCTGCAGGGAATTGTCCGACTTGGTGTCCCTGTGCAAGTCTGTCCAATACAAAGACTTTGAGACATCCATGAAAGCTCAAAATTATTGGGAAATGTGCTCCTTCAGTGAGGCAGAAGCCAGTCGGATTGCAAATGAATACCCTGAAGATTTTGTCAACTACAATAAAAAGTTTCTGTCCAGGGTGTACCCAAGTGCTATGAGGATAGACTCTAGTAACTTAAATCCTCAAGATTTTTGGAATTGTGGTTGCCAGATAGTGGCAATGAACTATCAGACCCCAGGGCCCATGATGGACCTACACACTGGCTGGTTTCTACAGAATGGGGGATGCGGGTATGTTCTCAGGCCTTCAGTAATGCGTGACGAAGTGTCTTACTTCAGCGCAAATACCAAGGGCATTGTTCCGGGGGTCTCTCCCCAAGTCCTACATGTCAAAATAATCAGTGGTCAGAACTTTCCAAAGCCCAAGGGTGCATGTGCAAAAGGGGATGTCATAGACCCCTATGTCTGCATAGAAATACACGGCATTCCTGCAGACTGCACTGAACAAAGAACTAAAACTGTTCAGCAAAACAGTGATAACCCCATTTTTGATGAAAGCTTTGAGTTCCAGATCAATCTACCAGAGCTGGCCATGATCCGTTTTGTTGTTTTGGATGATGACTACATTGGGGATGAGTTCATAGGGCAGTACACCATCCCGCTGGAGTGTTTACAGCCTGGATATAGGCACATACCGCTGCGATCTTTTGTTGGTGATATCATGGAGCACGTTACCCTCTTTGTTCACATTGCTATAACCAACCGAAGTGGAGGCGGGAAGGCCCAAAAGCGCAGCCTCTCAGTGAGGATAGGAAAGAAAGCAAGGGAGTACACTATGCTGAGGAACACCGGTCTCAAGACTATCGATGATATCTTTAAGTTGGCAGTGCATCCGCTACGAGAGGCTACTGACATGAGAGAAAATATGCAGGTATGACACTTCCATCATGTGCATTGGTGTGTCCTGAATGTGGAAGTGAATGTCCTGGTGCGAGCTGCTGGTAGGGCTAACTTGCTGAAGCTGGTGGAAACTGCTGAAGCTTCAGACCCACAGCTGTTGTCAACCTTTAACTGGACGTCAGAAGGCTGATAGTTACGGGTGCTAACTAACAAGAAAATGTGGGATTAGGCAGAAGTGTTACAAAAATCAACATGCCCTCTCCAAACACATACTTACTGGTTGTGTTTGTCTGAGAAATCAGAACTGAGGGTACATTTGTGTCCCCATGCCGCAGGTCTCAAAAACTTCATTTCCTCGCTGGTCCTGGAAAATGTCAGCAAGCTTTTGTTTTGCTAACTGAGTGAGGGTTATGCTCTTAATTTTCTTTGTCTGGGCGAATATAAGAAACAGTCAGTGGATGTGTCATTGAGGTCTCGTCTGCACCAGAGAAGCCCACTGTGCAAAGAGCAGCACGTTTCCCTGAGCGTGTGTTGCCACCGTTTGCCCGAGGGCTGCAGATGTTCAACGTAGGCACTGAATGCCACTTGGGTTGCATTTCCTCCCTGCGAAATAGCTGCGTTGTCTCAGTTGGCTGAGTGCCGGCACAGACACCGGTGCCGTGTCTTGGCTCAGAGGGTCTCCTGGCACCGCTTCCACCGGCCCGTGCTGCTCCAAGAGCAGCCGGAGCCTGCTGCGGCTGGCAGGGTCAGGGCCCAGGTGCACAGCACCGTCACAGCTGCCTGGGTTAGACCTTCGTGGTCGGCAGGAGGTGGGTGAAGCGGCAGCGAGGCCAAACAAGAACCCGCCTGCCCGGTGCTTGACTCTGTGGGTTGGTTAAGGGGCGGCTCAATTCAGAGGTCCAGGCGCTGCCTAGAAACAAAACTGAGTAGCATTAAACAATGAGTTTACTTTAATAAATAGCTGAAATCAACCATAGCTATCTCCTTGGTAAAGATACAGAAACAATTCATTTGTCTTTGTTGAAAACAGGAGAAAAACGCATAGCACTTCATTGACCCCACTCTTCTGGACAGAGTCTAAAGCAAATTAAATGTTGGCGGCTGGAAGAGTTTACAAAATGACATAAGTTTTAAATCACTCCCAAAGGAATAGTTTAAGCATATTTTTAAGAATGGGAAACTTCCCAGCCTTTCCTTTCCTGCAGGCCTTGAAAGTAACTAGTTTGAACCGCTGACTCCACCTTCTGTCTAGGTCAGGCACTATATGTGAACTATATAAAAGAAAATATTCTGAATCTGATTCAGAAACAGCATCAATGTGCCTTCCAAGCAAAATTTCAGTACAAGATCTTGTTCTGGGGAATGCTTTGTAAAGACCCAGTCATTAGATTTAACTGCGTGCTAATGTATTTGATTAATGAGAAAAGCCTCTATTAATTAGCTGGGCATTTTCTGATGACTTTTTTCAGCAAGATCTGTGGGGAACATTTACAAGGTATGGGTTATTATAATACTCTCTTACTTAGTTGTTGCGCATCTTGGTCACTCATTGTAGGACTCGAGAAGCTAAATGATGAGGGCATGTCAGCCATACATCCACTGATTTGATAAATAAATAAATCCTGGCATGCTAGTTTGGTTTGACCTGTATATCCAGTATTGATTTTCTTATATGTGACCTCTGAAGGGGAAAGAGTGTTTCTGTTTCTTTATGATGTGGTAATGTAAGGCTGAAAACAAAGTGGTTTTTTCCTGCTTGCCTTTCCCATGGGAAATACAAGGTCTGTCGAACTCGTTCTTGCTGGAGGATGATAATGACGGGAGAATGAGGCGATTACAGCATCAAAAGCAATTGGAGTCTGAGCAGTTGGGAAGAGAAATAGCATTTTAGGCTGATGGTTTAATATGCTGGGGACCAAAGCTTGTCCCTGTTGGGGCTGGATTTGCAATGCAAAGTAGCTGCAGAGCTGGCAGCTGGGATACCTGGGCCTGGGGGAAAGCTGGGGCTGGCAGTAGGCTTGGGGAGCTGACAACAGGGCTGGCTGGGAATTCCTCTGTGTGCTGGCACCCTGGGGTCCGCGGGGGGCCCAGGGATTGCGGGCAGCAGGGTAGCACTGCCCCACATCAGGGGGGAGAAGCAGGGAGAAGCTGACGAAGTACTGGCAGGTAGGGGGAACCGAGTGGCAAGTGACAACATGCGCTCAAGTCTTTCTTTTCTTTCCCTCAGAATGCTATGGTGTCTGTCAAGGAGCTGTGTGGGCTGCCGCCCATCGCAAGCCTGAAGCAGTGCATCCTAACCCTGTCCTCGCGGCTTGTGAGCAGTGACAACGCACCCTCCGTTACCCTCTGCATGAAGGACGCGTTTCCTTACCTAGAGCCTCTGGGGACCATGCCTGACGTGCAGAAAAAGGTCCTGGCAGCATATGACCTGGTAGGCGCTTACCATTGCTACCTCTGCCTTTCCCCACCATTTCGAACGCAACAGGTGATGCTTGCTGGCTTTCACATGCCCAAACGTTTCAGTTAAATGAAGGAGGCTCTTCAAATGACTTAGGCTATGCAAAATTGTTCTTTAATCACCAAAATGCCACACTGGGCTTTTTGTTGTTGTTTCTGTTTTCTAAACACGGTTGTGGCTAGCACAGGTTGGCACTTGAAGAGGACTTTGTTTACAAAAATAGCAGCAACTCAGTGTGTACTGGCAGCTGGTAGTCGCTGTCCTTGAGAAGCGGCAAGATGTGTGCGCTGCCCTTCACTTGCCTCTCCACAGCAGAGGGCAAGGCCATTAGACAGGGAGCTGCAGCATGGTCGTTCCTGGGCAAAGCTGAGCCGTTCCCTTCCTGATGCCTTTCACCAGCACTGTTAAGTTGTGGCCATGTCCCTGCCAGATGAAGTCAGTGTTGCTTCTGGGGAGGGCATGGCAAAGTTGGAATGGAAGTTTTGCAGCGCCCATTTTTTTGCACGGGGAAGGAGAGATCAGTGTGGTACAGGAATAATTATAGAAAGGTAGAGAGACGAACTGAAGTCATTCCAGATGAATGCTGCTGCTCAACCTTGTATGACATATGTCACTGCTGTGGGTGACTGAGCAACAGCTGTGTGTGACTTCCAGCAGCAGAAGTTGCTGTCACATTGTGCCTCTCGGGCTATGAGACTGCCCCATCGCCTCCCATCCTTAGTAGATGGTCTGTAGCAACTGATAGCAAGCCACATAGTTTTGTAAACCCAGACTTAAATATCACACTGTGGCAATCGGACTAAATCACGATGCATGTTCAGTGCATGGCAGTTATTTCTGCAGCTTATGTTTGTAAGGACTAAAACGGTGAATAACTGGGGGGTATCGAATTGCTTCCAGACACCCTGAAGTGTTGCGAAGAGTGATCACAGCTTTGACCAGGTATTCAATGTGCCAAATGCTTGCCTCCTTTCCATCTCATTTTTTGCTGTTACAACACACTTTTCAGGTGAAAATCAGCTTGGGGGGAAGAGGGACACACTGATGAGAAATACTAAAAATACTCTGAAATAACCCTTGGGTTCCTTCCAGAGTAGTTTATATTACTTGAAGGTGATTAAGTTGTGGTAATAAAATACTAGCTGTAACAATACCAGAACGAGGATTTGCAAATCCAGTTGATTGCCATATTTTAGGTTGGACTTTTTTTGAATAGATTTGTTACATGGTGTGATGTCTGTCTGAAGGAGCAAATACCACATAAGAGATTTTTCTGTCTTTGGAGGCCTACTCAATGGAGTTTTACCAGAATGAATGTGTCACTTCTTATCTTTGTAATTATATACTGAAGAGTACACATGGGACGTTTCAAGGCCTCCTTGTGCTTTGGAAACCGTTTTTCAATTTAAATAGGTGAAAGGCCTCTTTCGGATGCAGACAAAAACACTTGTATAACTGTTTTAAATAATGTTTGCTCTCACATTTGTCTCTGATGGAAGAAGATGTACTTTGCATGTCAAGAGACAGTACAAGGAGTTTAAAATCAGAGGGCTGAAAAAGAGAAGGGAATTCTTCTGTGCCTATGTAAGGGTTGATTTGAGACGTAATTCTGGTTAATGAGAACAGGATACTCTAAATTATTTTTACTCACTTTGTCTGGCTGGGACTACCTCTTACTTTGCTAAAACTATTTGCTTCTGAAAAAGCAAAAGCCAGATTTAATAAATGGGTTTGCTACATTTTGGATATTTGCCTTTTGAGGTAATGCCAGCAGCAGAATATTGAAATCTATTTTGCCTTTTCTGTGTTCAAAAAGAATGAACTGTCTCTATCAATCTTGATATTTGAAAACACAGTGTGGCGAGGCGTTGCAGTTTTGATGTTGAGAAAGGGCTCTTCCTTGCTGTGGTGTTTGTAATGTAATAATCCAGGGTGTGTTTCTTTTTAATAATAATTTTTTTCTTTTTTTTTTCCTTTTTTTTTTTGTGCAAATGAGAGCACAAGGAGATGTTGGTGGAAAGCAATATAAAGTATTTTAGCTATTTATTTATTTATTTATATTCAAGATATACTACTGTTCAGCCTTTTAAGTTGTTGATAAATATGGCTTCAAGGAACTGGATCCACAAATGCTTTCTGCATGTCTTTAATTCCCCAGAAACACCTCTTCACTTCAAAGCACTTTTGGGGTGAATAGGCCTAAGAGCAATTTTAAATACATAAAATAAAAGCTGTTGATGTTGGCCTCTCTCTTGTATGAATGGGCTGTACCTCTTCTTTCCATTTTACTGTAAAAGGAGTTAAGTTTGTTCCTAAATCTCATAGTGGGAAGCTGTGATTGTAGGTCTGCCTCACTCACTGGGCTCCACAGCACAGGTAGCGTGAGTATTGGGCAAACCCTTCCTCCCCACCTCCAAAACCACCACAAATTTCACATTCTTTAAAAGTCTGCTTTGAAAATAATCTCTGATAAAACCAGCCCTAATGCGTTAGAATTTTTTCTCCTTACAGGAAATTGCCAACTGAACATACCTTCCCCAACCCCCCGGAAAGTATAAACTCTGCCTGTGTGTTTAATGGGGCATAGACAGGGCTGACAGTCCAGGCAAATGGCAGTGCAAGCGCTCGGAGACCTGCCACAATGATCTGGAAAACAATTAACTGTCTGTTCCCTCCTGCTTGGCCTTTGTCAGCAGGCGCTATAGACAAAGACAAAGACTGGTTTGTGCAGTTTGTTTGTTTTTTCCTGGGTAATTAGTTTTACAGTTGTGTTCCGCATTGAATACTTTCTTCTGTGAGAGGCCTTATTAGAATAAAATTTAATGTGCTTTTTTTAAGGAACTGGAATGATTTTTCAGGACTTTTTTTTTTTTTTTTGTTAATGGTCGCATTGCAGTGGTTTAGTGGAACTTAACTGTTGCTGTGTCTCATGGAGGAAGAGGCTTCATTGATGGTACTGGATTGTATGGGAGTTTCAGCAGAGGAGAGCAGGGAGTGGGATTTGCCAAAACCATGAAAATAAGGTGGACCGTTGACAATACACAGAAAACATTTTTTAAAAGTATGTCAGCTACCAGAAATACCATTTAGAACGGTTTATTTCAACTTACAGCTTTGGTTGATACCGTATATAGAGTATGATGAATGGATTCCAGTAATGTTGTCATTGATTCCCACACATACATCCTAGGATAGTGTAGCATGTCACTTACAGAGCTGTTCTTCAGACCTTTCCTTTCCGACGAGGAAGGACTTCCACTCTTCCTCTCCCTCTCCACCTGTGTGCTCCGCCTCGTCGGTGGCCAGGCATGGGAAGATGCTTGCTCAGGTGGGCAGCACGTGCTGTGTGCCTTATAACCTGTCAAATTGATGCTGGTGTTCATTGATCACACCTAAAAAAGGAGATACTCAATGTGAAGAGAAAGGACGGGGCCCAGCTGGACCTGACAGATGGTTGAATTATTCATTGCAAACAGTTACCCTGTGAAGTTAGGATTTTTTTTTGGTTGAAAATTGTTCAGAAACAGATTGTGGTTTCTCTGTCTGCACGATACATTCATGTGCTGATGCAAGCATGCATGAGCTCCGGGACACTTGTGCACTTTGCTTTTCAGTTATTGGTTCAGCATTATTCTTCTTCCAAGATCAACTGATTGAATCGTTTGCAAATCAAAAGCAATAAACAAGTGATGATAAATGTTCTTGGTTTTACCCAATCTCCTGGCTTGTGTGCATACAGAAATTTTTCTAGAAAAATAAAAGAAGGTCCCCAAGTATCTTTACATGTTTTTGGATCATAAACAACAAAAAGTATAAAAAAGGTTGAACAGAGAAGCTATTTGTAATATAATCTCATGCTGATGTTAACGTTTTTCTCTGTATTCAAGCCTCTCTACTGGAACTGATCTTGCTATTTTGGAGCAGACAGGTAAGGAAGGACAGCGTGTCTGTAGGTACTGTTGAGAGACAGCAAGTTAGTTAAGAATGTCTTGGCCAACATGGTGATGGATTGGGAATTTTTGAGCAGTAATATCTGTGGCGCTGCTGGGGAATAAGTCGATGTATTTAATGGTATTGGTCCATGCTCGCTAGCAAAAGTCTGGGGTATGTTTGGAGAGGAACTGCTCTTTTTTCTGCTGTTCTTTCAGATTCGGCCTTTTTGGGTTTCTTTGTCTTGATGCAGGTGTGACAGCTCTTTATTCCCAAGGAGAAGGTCCATTTTCGCAGTTCATGTTAATGCAAAATGACTAAATAGATTTTTGTGAGCTTTTCCACTGAAATTCATGTTTCAGCTGGGACAGAGTCATCCCCAAAGGAACTTTTTTCACAATTGTCTGAGCAGCTGAAGACAAGGGATATTGCAGAGCAGAGCATTGACTGCCAAGGAAGTGTCATAATGCACTGACGTCAAACACAGTCCAGTACATGGACATTGTCTTGAATTTGTATCTGTTTTTTCTGTCCAAAATTGGACATAGACTGGGAAAGCAATTATCGTGTTTCTTTCTCCACTTTTTATAACTCTCTCTTTTATGAGAATTATGAACTATGTCCCTTAGTCCCTTCTAAAATAGGACCTGAAAACAGTCAGATTAGACCATTTGTTACAGAACAAAGTTCCAGTTGGGTACTTTAGTTAACTCTGTTTTAGCATAAGCATATTGAAAATTGAGCCCTCCCCCTGTTCCTCCACTGCTCTTGTTGTTTCATAGAGGACTGGTCTTCACGCATCAGATCACATCCTGCAACACTCTGACACCATATTTCCCCAGAAATCTTTGTAAGCAAAAATACAAAATTGGAATTTAAGGTGAACTTTATTCAGTTCCTTCTGCAGTTTGTGTCAATAAGGTATATCAGATATTTCCAGCTGATGTAACCGTCCATGATAACTGTTCCTCTTGTTGGGCTGTTGCATGAAAAGGCTCAGAAGCCTGGCTTGGAGCATATTGGGACAGAGACAAGGTGGACTG